CAGGTGGGGGGGGGGGGGGGGGGGGGCTGGCTTTATTTTTTTTTTTTTTTTTTTGATTTTTTTTTTTTTTTTTTTTTTCTCCTGCAAGATCCTGGTCGGGATAGGGGATGGGAACGCAAAAAGGAAAGGTCGGGAGGCTGCGCTCGGGGCATCGAGGGGAAAGAGGGAAAGGTCGGGGGGATAGTTGCAACGACGGATGGCAAGGGGAGAGAAGGAGACATCGGGGGGAGATCGCAAAGGCGTTGATACACCGTCAGGAGAATAACGGGAGAGAGGGAACGGTCCGGAGGAGGACATCGGGATGAGAGAACGGGATCAAGACATCGGAATGGGAAAGATGAATCGGAAAGAGGGAATGGCCGGGGGGACAGTTGCAACGACGGATGACAAGGGGAGAGAAGGAGACATCGGGGGGACATCGCAAAGGCGTTGATACACCGTCGGGAGAACAACGGGAGAGAGGGAAGGGTCCGAAGGAGGACGTCGAGATGGGAGAACGGGATCAAGACATTGGAATGGGAAAGACAAATCGGAGTCAGAAGGTCGGGATCGGGAACAAGTTGGAACATAGTCGAGGGAGCAAGGGAAGAGAGGGACACGTCGGGTAGAGAAGATCGGGATGGGAGGTCCGGACCGGGACGTCGGGATGGGAGACGCGAACAGAGAAGGGAGGGATATGATGTCGAAGTCGGGATGGTATGGGAGCCGGGAGGTTGGGATGGTAAACGGGTTTGGGACGTCGGGATAACATGGGAGCCCGGAGGTCGGGATGGGAGATGGGTTGGGACACGGTCGTTTTTTTTTTTTTTTTTTTTTTTTCTCTTTTGGTCACAAGGGGAGAGAGGGAGAGATCGGGGGGAGGGTTGCGACGGTGGGTGGGAGGTCGGGACCGGGAGGGAACGTGGAACAGAAAGGTCGGGACCAGCCTGAGGTCGCAAGGGGAGAGAAGGAGAGGCCGCAGGGAGGGTTGCGAAGAGCTAGATGGGATGGGAATTGGGCGGTCGGGATTGGAGGGTCGGGAGGTCGGGCCCGGCAGGTCGGAAAACAGAGACAGGAAACGTCACGATCGGCGAGGAAGAATTCGAACGATGTTTTTCTGAAAATCGTCTGTATCCCCTTCCTCGCTTCTCGCAATCTTCGTTCTTCTCGCCGCGGGCTTAGCCGCGGTGGGTCCACTTGTTCTTTTTAATGAAATTGAAACTTCTTGATTCGACCCTAAAAATGTTATAGTTGTAGCCCATGAGGGTCCATCAGGACTTAGCAGAAGTCCAAATACATCTTTGGGGGTCCAACATTTTCATATGGTAGCATTCTTAGGGCCAAATGAGTAGGTTTCAAATTACGTTTAAACTTTAAACCAGATAAAATGTCTGATTTAACGAAATGGCTGTTCAAATGAGACGGGTGTCCTGAAAGGCGAGGCCCAGTTAATGCGGGGTGTTAACGTCAAGGGCCCAGGCCGATGCATGGGTCAAGTACTGGTGGTTAAAGAAAAGCCTTAGGTCTAATTGGGGTTATGACGGGAGGGACACAAGGGTTTTCTAGGAGGGGTTACCACACACTGTAATTTGGGACAATTAACAAGAGGGGGTGGGGGTGTGTTGGGGGGGGGGTGTAACTGAGACACAATCCTAGATCATGGGCAGCAAATAAAAAAAAGGGGTTAGGAAACGGGGGGAGGTAAGCTGGGATGCGCCCATAGGGGAGATAAAGCAATAAAAAAGAAAGAGCTTCAAAGAAGGAATAATTGCCTTTCTTGAATGTATGGTACCAGTTGGGGGGCATTGGCGATGCTGAAAAGTGTCTTTAGAAGTCCAGTAATCGTATTCAGGGGCAAGAAGCTTTGCATGCAAGGAAAGTGGTTAAACCACCAGTACTTGGCCCAGCTATCGATGCCGAGCCAGGAATGCGCCTGCGCGCCAATTTTCGCCGAAGCGCCGGGGTACCGTTTTGAATTTTTTTTGGCTGGCGCTTCCAGCCATTGTGGCCCGGTACCCCGAAGCCCTAAAGGCGCGGCGCGTTAACGGGAAAGCGTTGTGGCCAATAGCTGGGCCAAGTACTGGTGGTTTAAGCCACCAGTAAGTTTCCCATCCGTGTTTCTACAACGCGGCTGCGTGGCGCTGCGCCTGACGGGATGTACCGGGGTGCTGGTTCGCATAATATCCATCAGGCAAACTGGGTCCCATGCAAGGCCCGTTTTGCCTGGACTTTTCGCGAAGCGGGCCCCCAATACATGCCCCCAGATGCAGTGCACATGAAGCCACGTCTTTGAAAAATGGCTGGGAAACATACGGGTGGTTTAAGGAAAAAAAGGACTGTCACACTGCCCATCTGGCGCAAGGTTTGATGATTGATAAGGAGGAGGAAAGCTTAGGATAATCAGTGAGAAGTTTCTGGCCTAATGAGGAATTTTGACTAAAAAACACATTATGATGCCCAATCCTTCCCTCGGTGAAGTATCCGTCTAGTCTTCCCAAGGGGACAGATCATGCAGATCTGCTTTCCATTGAAGGGCATTCTCACACTAGGACCTTTTCTCCTAATTTCTGGGCATGATTGCGGTCGGATGCATCCAACCCTCCTGTAATTCCGGCCGGACACATCCGGTCCTTCCGTAATTGCCATCAGATACATCCACTCCTCCTGTAATTGCAGTCAGATACATCGAGGAAAGTGCTGTAGTCTGACTATGCCCCGAGAGTGGAGGGACGCTGAACCGGTTTTTTTTTTTTTTTTAATAACTAATAATATATACTCTTCTCTTAATCTTCCTTCAAATTCTTTGTATATCTTTTCCTCATCTATCTCATCCTCTCGCTACTCTATGTATAGAGTACGGGGTACGGGGGACCACCACCCACGCAAACCTGGAACCTGGACCTCTCCCCAGCCCACGGGCCCACGGGCCCATGGGCTTAGGTTGGCACCACGACAGTGGTTCGAGAGCAAGCTTAGGCTTGCATCAGCCCCTCATCACGATGATGCTGGGTGATCAGGCATTGCTGACGGGGGAAAGCGGCGATGCTAGTGCCAATCATCTTTGGCCAGTCACTTGCACCTTCCCCTACGCCCCTCCAACCGCACATTAGAGGTGTGTAATGGACAAAATCATTGCTGCATAGCAACCAAAAATATTGGCCAAGGTCCTGCCAAGTTGCCAACGCGGGCTTGGGGGGCCAACGGGGGGTTATCTCTAGCTGGTAGAACACCAAGCTTGCCCAGGCATGCACGTGAGACCAAACAATGAGGATTGAACCCACGACCTCCTGGATGCAACTTCTGTGCCTTACGAACTGAGCTAGGCCCGCAGGACCCGTGAATGGGGTTCTCAACCTGTTCCCTTGGGCGTCCCTGCACTACTCTCCAAATGTGCAAAAAATGAGAATGAATCTTCCCCTAGAACATGGAAAGCTACACAGCCATATTTTTTTGTATTTTGTGCATGCAGAGAGTGGTGCAGAGGCCCCTTTGTCTTATCTAGGAGATGCTCGACCCAGTTGCCAGCATCTCCAGCTCCCCATTACCCGTCATCACCCGAATACAACGTACGGTCAATTAATTATTCTGTATCTGGACTCGAAGTTGTCCCAAATACAGCTATAATGACCGTACGTTGTATTCCGGGGAAGAAGCGTAGCAGACCGGAGTGTTACACGAAGTAAATAAATACACAAACAAATGAATAAAATAAAAAGGCCAACTGGACGAGGGCCTTGCAGCACCTCTCACCACATATTCAAAAGACAAAAGCTATGGAGCCTGCATCTTTCCGCGTTCTAGCAGAAGATGCATTGCCAAGCTCCAATTCGCTAACTTGGTAAGTAGTGCGGGGAGGTGGAAAGTCCTTCCTTTCTCAATCATCTTGTTTTTTTTTTTTTTTTTTTTTTTTTTTTCCCTTTCTCAATCATCATTTCAGGCCTTCTGTTTCATATCTGAATATTTACTCCATTATTTGTCCTTTCTTGTCCTTTTCTGTCATTCTGCCTTTGGTTCACCTGGGAGTGCTTTTTGAGGGGGGAGATCACCTGGGAGGTGTAACTGCCCAGTGACGTGCAGGCTGAAAGGCAGAAAAGGACAAGAAGCAGGGTGCTGTGTGACAGATTGTTTCATGAGACCGCGATCAACTAACTTTTTTTTTTCTTCCTGTTTTGTTTTTTGTGTCCCCTCCGACATCCGAAAGGCAGAAAAGAACAAGGAACGGGGTGCTGTAGCTTTTTTTTTGTTTTGTTTTGTTTTGTTTTTTTGAAAACTTCAATCATTCATTTCAAAACATCATCACGTAACAATGAGGTCCTCACAATTTCAACCCGGGCTGTGACCCAATAGCGGGGGTTTAGTTTATGGGGCTCGCCACACAGGCTTTCGAAACGCGCAAAAATCGACGCCGTGTCTTCGCTACACAGCCTTTCGAAACAAGTTCTTTCAAAGAGGTTTCGAAAGGTCTCAGATTGGCCGGCGTCGAAAGTCATTTTGAAGAGATGAGATCCTCCCGCCTGTCATGATGGTTTCCTCGAACGACCTCGAGTGGTCTTGTGAAAAGGCCCACTTGAAGTGGTTGATGGGCCAAAAAAAAAAAGGGAAAAAAAAAGGGGTGATTACAAGGGCCTGGCTCCACTACTCTGGACATGCACAAAAGACAAAAGTTATGGTGGTGTATCTTTCCATGTTCTAGCCAAAGATTCACACTCTCGTTTTGCACGCGCCAAGAGCAGTGGAGCCAGACCCTAATGTGCATAT